TGTCTGCATGTCTGCATGTCTGCATGTCTGCATGTCTGCATGTCTGCGTGTGCACATGCACATGTGTCAGTGTGAGACACAGTCTCCTGCTTATATTGGTCAGCCAAGGATTTTCTTATTGGCCTAGATTAACAACCCCATTCAAGCACCTCATAGTTAATAGGGTCCACCTGGTTCCAATCATTACATGGTGCATGTCTGATTGTAATGTTTCAAACTTGGAGTTCCAGGAAATTTGGATGGCAGCAGCACACTCAAAGTCATAAGAGGGGAAAGGGAAGTTGGTGATGAAGCAGTGGATTGCAAGATTGGATAATTGGATGGAAGAAAGTTCACTTTGTGAACTGTCTACCTCTCCTTCCTCCTTACTCTATTTCTGCCAACCTCCACTGCTCATACCACCTGATATATTTGCTCCTTCTTATCTTCCTCTTGACGATGATATTGTTTTAACATGTTTATGCAAGTTAACCAATTCTCCTGTGATCTAGAATATCTGCAAGATCAGTCACTTTAGTAATGCTCTTAATTAGATCACACAGATCACTGAATCTTGCTTTCAGAGGTTCACTTGGTAAAGGTAATAACACTAACACTTTGTCTTCTATTTGAAATGTTCTAGTTGTAACATGACTGTCTGCCTGTTCTTTCATCTTTTCCTCTGAAGCTTTTACATGCTCACATGCTACTTTTTGTGTCCTTCTGAGTATATCTAGAAACATGGATATGTTGAGAATTTGTCTTTTTTGTCTTAAAATCTTTTCCTTGATCAATTTTAATGGACCTTATACCTCATGACCATAGATCAATTTGAAAGGGCTCAATCCAATAGATTCATTCAGGGAATTTCTGGCAGCAAATAACAAAGAATCCAATCTTTGGTCCCGATCCTGTGAGTATTTGTAACAATATGTATTAATCACTGTCTTGAGACTCTGATGATGACTCGCGAAAGATTCCTGTATTTGTGAATGATATGCAGTGGACATCAAATGCTTTATACCCAAATTACCTATCGGGTAAATATTATTACTTTTTGGCTAAATGTTATTTTTGTTGAAGGTTTGAGACCCAGCAAGTTTACTCGCCCAATCATCTCAAACTTGCCTCATTAACTATCTACGCCACCTCTATGGTACCCCTCTCATCCAATGCTAGCCTAATTCCACCACTCTGTAGCCAGATGAACTTGTCATTGTTGGGTTATCCCAAGGTAGACCAGCATCCCTGGCAGCGGCTCTGTTTGGAAGACAGCTGTGGACCTGGTCTTGCTCTTCGCCATCAACATAGTGCTACAGCAGTCATAGCCAGCACTTCTCACAGCATGGAGGTGGTACAGCTAACATTGCTTTACACATATAACAGTGCATTCCCACCCCAACTATTGTTTAAGCATCAAGTCACACACCTGACTGGACCACAGCCATCTCACAATCCTTTCCAAGTCACTACTACCCTGTCCCCAATGGCCACTGGAGCCTCACATCTCATCATTGTTCACTGTGGGGCCATCAAAGACAGTGCAGCCTTCAAATGATGTGTAATTGTAACTAAATTTACAGGAACCAAAAGCATTCAGAAATCAATCCAACATACACTACCTTCTCACACTCCCCCATATACAATTGAATTGTTTGCACTTTCAGCAAGGTCCACTTCTTTTTGTCATTTATATAAATGATTTGGGTGTGAATATAGGGGATGTGGTTAATACATTTGCAGGTGACACCAAAATGGATGGGTAGTGGAACAGCAAAGAATGTTACCTCACAGCACAACAGGACCTTGATCAGATGGGCAAATGGGCTGAGGCATAACAGACCGGGTTGATTTAGATAAATGTGAGGTGCTGTATTTTGGAAAGGTAAATCAGGGCAGGACCTATACACTTAATGGTAAGGTCCTGGGGAGTGTTGCCGAAAAAAAAGACCTTGGGGTGCACGTTCATAGTTCCTTTGAAGTGAAGTTGCAGGTAGATAGGGTAGTGAAGAAGGTGTTTGGTACGCTTGCCTTTGTTGGTCAGTGCATCGAGTACAGAATTTGGGAGACTGTACAGGACATTGGTTCGGCTACTTTTGTAATACTGCATTCAATTCTGGTCTCCCTGCTATAGGAAAGATGTTGTGAAACTTGAAAGAGTTTGGAAAATATTTACAAGGATGTTACCAGGATTGGAGGGTTTGAGCTATAGTGGGAGGCTGAATAGGCTGTGGTTATTTTCCCTGAAGCATTGGAATCTGAGGGGTGACCTTACAGAAGTTTATCAAATAATGAGGGGCATGAATCGGGTGATAGTCAAGATCTTTTCCCCAGGGTAGTAGAGTCCAAAACCAGAGGGCATAGGTTTAAGGTGAGAGGGGAAAGATTTAAAAGGAACCTAAGGGGTAGCTTTTTCACACAGAGGGTGGTGCATGTATGGAATGAGCTGCCAGAGGAGGTAGTGAAGGCTGGTACAATTACATTTAAAAGGCGTTCGGATGTGTATATGAATAGGAAGGGTTTAGAGGGATATGGGCCGAATGCTGGCAAATGGGACTAGATTAATTTGGAATATCTGGTCGGCATGGAAGAGTTGGACTGAAGGGTCTGTTTCCATGCTGTACATCTCTATGACTCTATAACAAATATTTTATAGTGAATAAGTTCTCACTCAACTCAGCTTCCTTCTGCTGAAACCTGGTGTCAGTTAAGTCCTGCCACAAATGTGCTGTCATGCACAGCGGCATGTCCCTCCTGCTCAAGATTCTCGTCGTCCTCCTTGAAACACTGCTCTCACTTTCCCATTTCCTCAGCATTCATCATGTCCTCTTATGGCCTGCTGCAAATCTGCAGAGCAAAGCTTGCTAGGATTATGTGGCAGACTCTGTCCAGAGTATACTGAAAGGCTCCACTAGCGCCGTCCAAACAACAGAATGTTTCCTCTAAAAAGCCTGTCCACCATTACCCAGGTTGAAGAATGGGCTGCGTTGTATCCTCACTGCACCACAGTGAGGAAGCTGAATAATGAGGTCTGATAGAAGGTAGCCCTTGTCCTGCAGTAACCAGTCTTGTATTGAATCTGGACCTTCAAACACAAGAGGAACATGAGAGTTCTCAAGGATTTAAGAGTCATGGCAAGTTGCCAAGGTACTGGACAAAATCCTCCAACAAATGTCATTGGTGATCACAGATCACTTGAACATTGATGGAATAGAGTTCCTTTCTATAGATGAATTTTGTGGTGTTGTGATATGGCCCTCTCAGCAAGTGTGTATGCAGTCGATCATGTCCTGACCCTGGGGAAACCCAGCTATGTTACCAATCATACTGCCCAGGCTGCAGCACTGACCTTGCCTTGGAGATGTGAGATAAGGTGGTATAATTTGGCACAGATGGCATCAAACACAGCTTTGATGCATTTGTGGCTGGACAATTGAGAAATCCTACACCGGACCCCAGTAGACCCAAAGGAAGGAGCTGGTTGCATAAACATTCAATGCACCAGTCACCTTAAGCCACTACATTAGGATGGCCTCCCACCCCTTCAGGTCACAGATCCTGCTTCAGTAGATGGCATTGTTCAGTAACAGTGTTGTTGGACATATGCAGCCTTTACCAAACACTGCGTTTTACTCATGTGATGGAAGTGGCCTCATGGATGAAAGACTCTGACTCTCTTCAGTCTCCAACACATCTTGAGGGGCCCTTCAGCTGCAATCTCTTTATCTGGGGAGCCTGCTTAGCTTCCACTTCAGTTTGTTGCTGCTGCAGGTTTTGCTTGCGTTGACCTTCCTCCTCCATCTTCCTGTGCCATGTTGCATTGGGGCAACTGAACGATGTCACCAGCTGTGACTGAGTTCACCATTCATGTTGTCATTGAACCTGTTGGGAACATAAGGAACAGACGAGGTTCTTACCAATTGGAACAGTCAACAGCTGCATCCCTCACAAATGACAACTTGACATTCTTCTCCATAGTCAGAAATGTTGCATTCCAACAAGGAGGATCCTGGAATGATTCATTTCACCATTTTGACATTAGGCCTTATTTCAACAAGTACTCCACTGGTCATGCTTCAAAGGAATAGCAGCAGAGTGCAAGTGCACCATGAGCACTTACACCCTTCTTGCTCAGCTCCACATCAGACACAAAAGGCACCGTTGCACATAAGAAAGTATTGCATTATGCTTACAGCTCCATGCCCCTTCACCTTGTTTAGTAGTGTGTGATGTGGGCCACAGATGCCTCCTTTAAGGTTGCCTGTGATTACTTCTTCACAGAGATGTGAAATCATTGTGTCAATTAGGCTTGGTCTGATCATCAGGTCCCACCTTACGCTAAACGTCCATGTCCCTGTCAGCCTAACCTTCCCTCAACAGCTCAATTCCACCACACCCACATGTGTTCACCTATCACATCAAGCTTACACTCCAGCTGTCCTCCTTACCCCTAAGCCTTGTCACTACATCTTGGTGATACATACTATCATGCCGCACAGCTTCTGAGGTGACAATATTGAGATAGTGAGATTTTCCCATCACCTTACATTTATGGCACGTTTTACAGAAATGCACTACATCCTTATTAAGTCTTGGTCATGTAAAATGCATGTTCATCAATGCTTGACTTTTCCACATTCCCACATATCCTTCCATAGGAGTTTCATATGTTCACAATATCTCATTGTGATATCTGAACAGCAGTACTATTTGATGAATAACCACCCATTCCTCATCTATAGGTCTGTGGAATATCACTTGTTCATCAGAACTCTGTGTTCAATATAACACTCCAAAACTTCTCCAGCCTCAGTTTGTGCTAATTTGCTTGACTCTGCTTTTTTTAGCCTCAATTAAAGAAGACTTACTAAACACTTCTTTTGAATTATCCCCATTCTTCAATTAAGTTATGGCTACTGTAACATCTTTTGTGGTATTACTTTGACCTCTGGGGGTGTACTTTGTTTGGCCATTGGCTCTGGTCACCATATGAATGAAAAATATCTGCAACTTGTTCTTGTGATGGTGCTCCATCTCTTTAACCTCACCTCACTCAGAGTTTCTGTGATTATAGACAAAACGATAACTTTCACTCTGGCCAAATCATTAATGGAGAGTAAGTCAACACCATCACAGTTAATTTCTGAACAACTCCTACTACCATGATCCCAGACATTAAAGATTATAGTGATAGGGAATGGTAAGTTAAAGGATGGATAAGAATTTTAAAATCAAAACGGTACTTGATCGGGAATCAATGTAGGTTCTTGGGCACAGAGGTGTTGGGATGGATGAGCTAACTGACCATGACACCATAGTACAGGAAGCTACTCATGAGGGGACAGTAAGAAGAAATGTAGTAGCAGTTTGGGGATAGTATACCGAGGGGGATTGACACCGGTCTCTGTGGCAAACAGCACAAGTCCAGGGGCTGTGCTGCCTGTCTGGTGTCAGCATTCGGGACATCTCCTTAGAGCTCAGCACCAATTTGCAATGAGGGAGGTGAAGATCCAGTTGTTGTGGTCTATCAAGGTAGCAATGACATGGGCAGCTCAAGGAAAAAGTTCTGCATAGAAGAAGTAGGTGCTAAATTAAGCAGAA